GGGGGGGAGGCAAGGGGGGAGATTGAGCGGGGGGGTGGAGGAGACGGGGGAGGAACCGGCGGGATGGGGGGAACTTACCTCCTTCTCCTGCTTCCTCTTCTGCCTCATGTGTGGAGGTCCCTCCCCACGAGTATCGCGGGTCCCGCCCCTTGTAATACCAATTCTGCTACATATTTTTCTAGGTAAATCTCATTGATACTGCTTCTACTTGTCCAGAACAGCCTGCCATCTCATATAGTACTTAAAAGAGGCTTCTTGAATTCCACTTTCATTGCCACTTGAAAGATATTTGCTGTTCATCTTATAACTAACTCAGTAAGACTCAGACACAAGGTTGGGTTCATAACTAAGCATATTCTATTCAATAGCAAACACAGTAAACCTAATAAATACAACAGAACAGCAGATTCAGCATAGCCATCTACTGAGGCATAACTAAAGATTTACTTAGACACATTCAAATATATGACAGAAATCAAAATCAGTAAGTCTGCAGAAGTTTATAGTTTTATTTGAAATCTTGTTTTTCTGGAACACTGTGACCTTTTGAGAATCCAATGTTTTATCATGAACTGGTTTTCCCCCCTGAAGACATACATGTTTCAAAATGTACTCTTCATGCAGTCTAAAAAACTCCAGTGCAAGGCAGATACTGTCTTCTGAGAAGGTACAATTAAGTTCAAATACTTTAATTATTGTCTGTTGGGGAATGCTATTAAACTCTGCTTTCCTCACTCAGGGGGCTGGCAATACACAGAGTACTTTTCTTTCTCATTACAGCACAGCTCCTCCCTTATCTATGCTAGGCTCCCAGCTAATTTGCTATTGTGTAGCCAGTTTCTGCAGAACAGGACCTGATTTTTATTCAGATACACCACTTCAGTACTGACCTGTAGCTGTAGCCAGAACCAACTGTCATGGAGGCCCAAGAGGTAGCTCAGTCCCTTCGGGCCCCCAAATGTTCACGCTGTCGGAACCATGGGTTTGTGGTGCCGGTCAAGGGTCATGCAGGCCAGTGCCGCTGGAAGCAGTGCCCATGTGAGAAATGTGCTCTCATCACTGAACGTCAGAAGATCATGGCTGCTCAGAAGGCCTTGAAGAGACAGGTCCCAGACTCTCCACCCAGGGAGACGTTCCCACCTACTCATGGCAGCCCTAGTGAAGGACAAGTGAACACAGCTAGTATCAGAAAGAGCTCAAGACTGAACACTACACAACCCTGCAATCATGGGCCTGTCATGCATGAAGGAGCCAACGCTACCTTGGCAGTCAACAACTGTGGCAGAACAGGGATCAGCCAGGCACTTCCTAAACCTAGCTCTCCAACCTTCATTGACTTAGGTATATGTACTGGTCATATTCCAGAGGTTGTCAGTCTGTTTTGTTTGAATGTGATAGTGGTAGTTGGGGCTGCTCTTTGCCTGACAAGGTGGCATGGTTTATTTTGCAGTCCTAGCTGAGGACTTTGTAGCTGCAGAAATCCAGTCTCGGAGGCTGTTTGTTTGTGTTTCATTGTTTCCAAAAAATAAAGAAAGGGGGGGGGAGAAAGAAAATAAAATAAGACCAAACCCCACCAGATTTTGCAGCCAGGCACTGTTTAAGGATTTGCTGGTCTTGCATACCCTTGAACTTCCAATTTAGCAACAAGGCTCAGAGACTCTAGATTTGAAATGAGCTGTGTTATATTTTACAGGCTTCTCCTAAAGCAAGGAGATTTGCCATGCAGACAAAATTGACAAAGATTTGTCTAGAATACATTTCTCATACAGTATAAAAGAGAAAACAAGGTCTAAATGAGGGATTTTACTGGGCTTTATTATGGAAGCTTATTTTGCATTTAGATGTGCTTTGAAAAACAGTGAATGGGGGGAGGAGGAACTCTCAAGGAATTGAGGGGTATAGATTCTCCCCCAACATTTCAATTATGGATGCTTTGGACAATTGCTTAAAAATAATGATTTTGGCAAGATGATTCCTAACATACTTGCCTTAAAATCTCCAATAAGATCTAAGACTACCTTCTTAATTGTTGGATTTTAGTAACAAAACTGGAACATTTAAACAGTGAATATGTTATAGTCAAATCCAAAATTGTTTCGTAATTTTGAATTTTTTTTAAAAAAATTTTTTTTTAAGATCTGTGGTTCTGTCACCAATCTGCTATCCAGCTGGTTATCTTACCTGTACTCTATTCTGTATAAGATTTTGCGTTGTCTTCTACTGTTTTAAAGTTGTACTGTATATCGCACTGTAACATGCATTGCAGCAAGATACACAGTATATATTTAAATTTTCTGAGCATTAAATTTTATTCTTTGGTTAGTTACTACCTAGAAGAAATGCAGAATGCAGAGCGGTCTGTTGGTTAAACTTATTGCTTACAGCCTGTTCTGGATAGGGTTTCACTCCCCCAAAAGAGCAGATTTTGTAGCATTGTGGTAATATTAGATCTGTACCTACAAATGCAGTACCAGTATTCAGCTTTGGCTGGTGAGACAGTGGCAGCCATTTCTTAGCTGGCAGGATCTGGTCCTGGTTATCCATGTTCTAATCACATCTAGCCTGGTCTATTGCAACACACCACCTAGGACTACCTTTAAAGCCTGCTTGGAAACTTCATTTGGTTCAACTACAGCAGTAAGACTGCTAACAGGTACAAATTACCATAATCTTACCTGCCTGATATTAAAAGAACTACATTGGCCATGTGTTAATTTCTGGGCACAATTCTAAGTGCTTGTCATTAACGCTAAAGCCTTAAATAAGCCTGTCTCTTAACTCAGGTCATCTGGCACGGATTTTTTTATGCTCCCCCTACACCTTTTGAGAGGAGTTGTGGTGGCTCAAGTGGTTAAGACGCTGAACTGCAGGCTGTGGAAGGTCAGTAGTTCAGCAGTTCGAGACCCGCATGATGGAGTGAGCTCCCATCTCTGGCCCCAGCTCCTGCCAACCTAGCTGTTTGAAAGCAAGAAATTGCAAGTAGATAAATAGGTACCACATGACCACGGAAACGTCTTCGGACAGCGCTGGCTCTTCGGCTTTGAAATGGAGATGAGTACCGCAACCCTAGAGTGGTATTCGACTGGCTTTCGAGCAAGGGAACCTTTTCCTTTACCTTACACCTTTTGAAGTTATGTGGGCAGCTGCCAGAGGGAGGGCCATTTTCCATAGTGGCTCTTCACTTCTGTACTGCCTCCCTCCCAGTTGCTCTCCTGCTGCTTGATCATCTTAGTTTTAGGTAGCAGGTAAAATATTTTTAATTTATCCAGGCATTTGGCTGTTTGCCTGTTTTATTTGCAACTTCCCTGTTTCTGCTTTCCTTTTAAAAATATCTTTTCTACTGATTTTATAGCCACTGATTTTGTTCTTAACTTTTTAAATTGTTTTATTGACTACTATATTTTGTATTGTAATTTACTGATCCTGGAGCATAATAGTTATGGGGCAGCATATACGTCATTCCAATGAATGAATGGTTCTTCAGTGTTGCATAAATCTATGTATCCAAGTGCATCGTGTTTGCTATATATTGCTAGGTCTTCCATCCATAGGCATTGCAAATTCAGAGATGGTATGAACTTGTTTCAATATCACATGATGATGTCAATTTCTAGATCTTGTTAACCTGTGAATAACAAAGCTGTCATTTAAGTATTTAGGGGAGGGGCTGTGACTCAGCGGTGGAGCATCTGCTTTGCACGCATAAGACCCCAGATTCAGTCCCCAACATCTCTAGTTAAATTTCCTAGTGTCTGGGTCATTGAAACAATTCTCCCAGTCACACAAAATTACTCATTTTAAGGGGCTTCCAGCTGGTAGACGAAATGTCTAAACTGAATATTCACAGTAGAAGCAAATTTTCAAAATACAAAAGTACAGAATAATCTCACATACTGTTGTTGATGTTAGTCTATCCTACAAATTCAGCCCAACCATTCTGGTTTGTTTCTTCTGTAGACCATCCTACTTTGCTTCAAGACTGTGCTGCTGTGTGTCCAGAATTGGTAGAAAGACAGCATCCCAAAGTGTATCCTGGGTATTCTGGGATGTACCCCTACCATCCATTCTCTGTGGGATTCACTATCAACCAACCAGGCTATAGAGGTCCACCCCCTGCATCAGTATTACCCCTGCAAACAGGTTTCAGACACTTTCCTAGTAGTCACGGGCCCGGGAACGTTGCTTCTTTGCCAGTAAGTGGTGTTTTCTCTTTATTATTGCACAATGAAGCCCTGTCTCTTGTTTTTAAGAATGTCCTGAAACACTTTTGCAAAGTTAGTCTTGGCAGCTGGTAATTTCAACATTTGTCTTGGAAAGTAAGTAGATGTGATGTTCTTAGGGATGTGTGAAACCTGTCCTTTTATTTCCACTAGGTGTTTCTACTTTTCCTCATCAAGGGCTTGGATATGCACAGAAAGTTTATGTCCTCAGATAGCCTTGCTTTTGGGTTTAGTTATCCTTGCAGGCATAAATCAAATGCATATTGTCTTTTGCTTTTAATGGGAATAGACATTTGGTTGTACTTCAGGTGCACATTTCACTTCTCAGGTAGCTGTGAGAGGGCCTGTGCAATTATCTGCCAAACATTCCCCCCCCCCAAAGGAATGTAGATTGACTAGAACCATGCACAAGGTGGATGTGGCTTAATTGTCCATATTAATGGAATTACAATAGGTGCATCAGAAACTGAACTAAACAACAAATGTATTTTTGTTCACAGAAAATCATAACTCTTTTCCTGTTCCTACTCCATTGTTCTTCCTGTGTGTGTCTAGGATCCAGTTAAATGGACTATGGGGGGTGATTATGTAGAAATGGACATGATAAATGCTACTGGTATGGATTTTGCTGGATTAAGATGTTTCCTGCTTTCCCTTGTAGTGCAGAAGGATATATTTAGCCACATAAACCCAACTGAATGGTCTGGATGACATAACAGTAGAACAGGTTCTGGCTTAGAGTCCTGGACTCCACCCTTTCAAAGTGTCTGATATGATGGCTCAAATTCATACTGAACTGTGTGTTCTGGATTCTTTGTCTTTGTATAGATTCAAGATGCCAATGGGCACTTTCAGCCTGGCTATTATACTCCACTACCACCTTTTATACCTCAGGGGTTTCTGCCAGGGATTCACTACATTCCTCCACCTCTCCCATTAAATGTTGTTGCTGAAACTGCCAAGGAAACATCTGGTGAGTAAGAATAAGAATGACATCAGCCAGTTACAGGATGCTCAGGTGCACAAGCCCCATGTAGAGATTTGGAATACGTATATAGTGGAGAATCAATAATTTGCCAGCTTGCCCTCTTGATATTCACATTAGATTGCCCATTAGCAGAGAGGCCTGAACAGAAAACCAAATATGTGAAGGCCTGATCGGTAAGACCTGCGCACCTTGATTTTCTGATGTATTGCATCAGATGTTTTGATATATTGCTTTTCTGATGTATTGATGTACCTTATGCGTTGCTTTAAAAAGTTTGTTTGATTCAAGAGAATATTGTGTACTGGAAACTAAATATCATGGGGGAAATTCCATGAGTTCTATGTACTGAGCAATAAAACAGAAATTCAGGCAAACAAGCTGAAATAACTAGATTATTCTTATGTTTCAGCTGCCCCTGTGGATAGCCAGGATTCTGGAGTGATGAGTGAGCACAGCGATCCATCATCTCAGGAAGATGCTAGTGGAGAATGTTCCTGATACTCCTCTAAGCATTAAATTCACTGATAATCAGTTTTGTTATGTACAAGTGGTGTATTGCTGAAACCATTATTTTTGTTGTGGTTTGTTCTGGTTTAAACTGACATTAATCCTAATGCAGTCATCCAGGTTTACAGGATAACAGCATTCAGAGTGTTAGGTTCTCAATGTTTGTACCACATAGGAATTTCTCCCACTTGGAGTTTGGTGCAGTGTGCACTGATCTAGGCATAACTTCCTTATTACTCATCATAGAAAGGATGGAGTGTGGTAGAACTTCAATTCGTGTAGCTTGTGGAAAGTCAAATGGGTTGCTGAAGTACTCTTATCCCCAAATAAAAACCTAAACAAACACACCCTAATATAGATTTCAAGGCTGTAGCTCTGAAAACAAAAATTCTATCTATAAAGTTATCATTGATACCAACTTATCTTCTGTGCTTTTAACAGAAACCTGGTTGTGCAGATATTAACAGGTAGTATTGCTTATCTCTGTGTTATTTCTTATGCCAAACTGCTAGTAAAATCAGAGCAGTATGCTAGGCCAGTTCTTCTCAGACTCATTAGTAATGGTAAAGATCCTCTTTTCATAAACAGGACAACCCTAAATGGAATTGTGAGTCACATGTTTTATCACCATACCATATCTAAGTATCAAGTAATTCTAAGGCAATCAGTATACAACACAGATATACAGACATATGATAGCTTTTTTTTTTCTTAAGAAAAGCAACTTTGAGGAGGATCCATTTTTGACCAGGTAGCAGCTGGTAAGGATAGGGTGCTTAAACCTTTCCCTGGCAGTCTTTTTGGCCTCTTTTCCATCTTGTTCAGTCTCAAACAGGAGACACTTGTGAATAAAAATGAAATAACTCTCTTGTACCTGTTGCCCTAATTATGTATTGTCTGTGGATCCACCCGCTTTAAGTGGTATATCCTTGTAAGCTGCAAACATAATGACAGTCATATTTGTTTTAGGCCTGCATAGGAGCACCCTTTAGCCCAGTTGCTAATTCCTCTATGTACCTTGCTTCACTTTAGATATTGGCTTGGCCAATAGTAGTAGAAGCAGCAGCTGGATAGAAGCAAGGAAAACAAGCCAAAATCAACTTGTTGCTATATGGCATCTTTAATTTGGAGAAAGTAGTATCATGGTTTAAAGCGTCGCAGATCTTTCCTGATTTGTGTGTGTGGGGGGGATTTCACCTCTGTAAACATTCAGGGACAACAATATTTGGATAAGGATGAAAAATAGCATTCAACTTTAAGTACTCCTATCTGTTATAAAAGCTCTGTTACTTCTGTTCTGTTGTTAATGTTCTTGATACAAGTTAGGACTAAATAAATTAAAATGTTGACACCACCCTTAAGTTTTGAAATGTTTTTGTTCTGCAGACAGGTTTTACATTTTGTTCTGCAGACAGATTTTAGAAGTCGTATGAGAATATTATGATGAGGCTTGCTTTACAAAAGAACTCTATGGATTATACTTCTTGTTGTTTATGGGTCAGCACATCCAGCGATGCAACCAGATTTCTTAATTCTGGACATGGAATTCAATATCTAAAATATCTGAATTTCAATGCAAAATGCATAATATTGGGTACAAATTGGTGAACATGTATCTTGTATCATTGCTACACAACATTATACAGAAAAGGCTGTACATGTTCTGTGTAGGGCAATACTGAACTAATTAACTAACTTGCTTTCAACTGCCTAATCTATTTACTCTAGTAAATATAAATACCATAAGAGCTTCATGAAGGAAGGGGAGGGGTGGTGCTCCAGAAGAAAAGAGTATCGGAATATAAGGAGGGCATCCTGATGTCGGCTTCACCTCCCAGGTTCCATGGGAGGCAGAGGGAGCAGGAGGAGCTTTCTGCCTCTGATGGGGGGGGGGATCCCCTCCTTTAGTTTGGTGACTCCCAAAGTTGCCATAAAATCAGTGATGTTTGCCTATGTCCACAATCAATGGATGTCAAGATTTTGAGAGACAGTAGCAAGCACCACCCAAAATGGCTGGCAAAGAGGCACAGCCAAACTGAAAATGGCTGGTACAGGAGGTAGAGCTAAACACAGTACTCCCCCTTGGTTTGCAAAAGAATCACATGGCAAACCTACTGAGTACATAAAGTAGCCTTATTCAGAGCCAAGCTTAGTGCTATCAGTACGATGACTGGAAGCATGGTCCAGCCCATGGGAGAACAGCAAGCATACAGAATGAGGTAGTGGACTTTACTCCTGAAGACGTCTCCCCTCATGCAACAACTGTAACAGCTCCCTATACTGTAAGACTAGAACAAAGCTTCCTCTCTGCTTTGCAAAAGAAGCTCAGGGCAAAACTCAGCCGATTCATAAACAAACCTCCATTACGCTGACTCATTTTATTCCACAACTAGCCTGATACCCGTGCTTCGCTACGGGAGTCAAGTTCCGTAAATCCAGTTATAATACTGATGATGTGAAGTCTGAAATGTGACATTTGTTGCAGGAATTCTAGTGGAGAAGACTGTAGTGTAAAAAATGAAGCAAGACATACATACATACATACTTGTTTTTTTTCTCTACTGAAGGACCTCTCTGTAGACCACATTGGTGGTTCTGCCCTCAAGTGCTAGGATCACCAGGCTGCTTGGTGAGCTCACTCTGGAGCAGGCAACATTTAAGAAGCAGTCATCTGTTAAGTCAACACAATTGGGGGAACACGTTTTGCCCCTTTTTTACCCCCTTAGGGGTCATGTTTCTCAGAAATCTCTTGGGGCATGATTGATGTCATGGAAGGAATGCACTCCCCTTATGTTGGGTTTCTTGGTGCAGGGGTTTGGCCTGGGCATTGAATTGGGGGGGAGGGCATACCCCCCCTTTTTTTACAAAATTGCCTCTCATTTATGTTACATTTAAGAAGTGGAACATAACTACATATTCAAAACACCATCCGAGCAATCAGATATTAAGCAAGTTCATATGAACCAATTTTCTAGAACCCACATTGTGAGAAGTTAAATAACCTAATAAAGGAAACCATTTTTCTACAAATTTGGGGTATATTTCCATTGTGGGTGGGAGTGTGGCTAAGCTGGGCCAGCAGCACTGGTAAAGTGATCCTGCTGGGGCGGCGTCCCTGATGGATGAAAGTATCCTGGTCCTGCTCCTGCTCCTGACAGACACCTGCCTGTCTGGTGTTGGGGGGGATTATGTTTAAAGGCATCAGGGAGGCTGGGCCAGCAGCAGGGCTAAGGCAATCCTGCTGAGCAAACCTCCCTGGCAGCTGTAAGCATCCCACCTCCTCTCCTACACCTGACAGGCAGCTGCTTGTCCAGTGTAGGAGGGGGAGGAGTATTAGAAGCCACTGTGGAGGTGGGGCCGGCAGGATCACTAAGGCGTTACTGCTGGGGCAGGCTCCCTCATGGCTATAAGCACCCTGCAACTGCTGCTGCACCTGACAGACAACCGTGTGTTAGGTGTAGAAGGTGGGGGAAGTGTGTTGGAAGCCATCAGAGAGGCTGGGCCAGCAGCTTTGCTTCACCTCACAGGTGGTTCTTGGCCACTCCTGATTTCCTCAACTGTCATTAGCTCTCTGTAGTCCCATGTAATTGTTTTTTTAACCTCAGAATACTGAGCTCTGCAGCTGATCAATCAGAGTGGGGGGTGCACAGAGGCAGCTGCCTGGCAGCCCCATAGGAATCAGTGGGGGGAGCACATTTCCCCCTTTTTGACCCACTTAGGGGTTGAATTTCTAAAAATCCCTTCTTAGTGAGCACCTACACCATGGTAGGAGCGCTCTCCCTGAATTTGGTGTCTCTAGGTCCAGCGGTTTGGCCTGGGTGTTGATTTTACAGTGAGGGGACTTTCTTTTATATAGATAGATAGATAGATAGATAAACACATGATCAGCCATTTATGATGAGTAAAACTATTGGTCTGTCAAGGTCAGAACTGTCTGACTGCCAAACTTTCTTGACGCTATTCTGTTTACTGACATTCATACTATTTAATTTTCTCTCAGACATCCCATATTAATTAGCATTTTTCAGGGGTGCTGTTTCCCTGGAAGAGAAGGGGACTAAAAAGAAATGAAGGAAATGCTGATGGGGGAGGGCAAGAAGGGTACATGGAACCTTTTGTATAGTGGAGCAAACAACACACACCCAGTTTCCTCTGGCTGAAGGCCTCTTCATTAAGTTACCTGGAGGGCAGGTAACTTGGCTATTGGAATAACAATACTTAACTAAGCTGTTTCTAGGGCTCTAGGCCAGGGCTGTCCTGGCCTGGTTCTGCAGATTCTTAGTAGGCCCTGCACTCCTGCAGGCTGCCAGCAGGGAGACTGAGAAGAGAAGCACTAAGTCTTTCCTACTCTCTGGTTTGCTCTGAGGCCTACTGGGATAGCCTCTTAAAGGGGCAGTACACAACAGAACCATACAGTGATTAAGGAAGCCTCGTGTCCACAGGATCCTCCAATGGCTACAGCTAGTTTTGTAGCTGTCAAAAGCCTATTCATTTGAACGAGGGCTGCCACTAAAAAGCCCTGCCTTACAATGGTCCTGCTCCTGTCCACTTTCTGAAAAGCACATTGGGAACACCTGCCAGAAGCACGGAATGTTATTATGAGACAAAAATCCACTGTAACTAAGAAAAGTTATTTTGTGGAGTAAGTCCAGCGTAGTCAGAGCTTGGAAGCTACGTAAGTACTAGGATGGTGGACCACCAAGGAAGGCTGGGGTTTCTATGTGGAGGAAGGCAATGGCAAACCACCTCCGCTTGCCTCTTGCCTGGAACACCCTGTCAATGGGGTCACCATAAGTCAGTTGCCACTCATGACACACAATCTTTCATACAGACCCTGACCAGACCTGCCTAGCTGCTGCATCGTGTGCCCTGCAGCCTTCCTCAACAGTCCCATACTAACAAGAATTAGTTTTTGTTGTTGTCTATGCCAATTAGCTGAAATACTTAAATACACCATACACATTTTAATTTTATTTATTTACTTCATTTAT